GATAAACTTTTACTTTGCTGTCTATTTAGTTGATAAATTTAAGTGTTAGTTACAACTCGACTTTGCTATTCGATTAAAGGAATTATTAGCTTTAACTCAATCAAATACAGTCATCGTGGAATCGACACTCTACACACCACTTTATTACTTATTCACGATCCCATTGACTTGCGGATAATCAATCGACCATCTACCACCTGGGTTTGAGGAACAATTGGGACCAAACAAAGTCTGTAGGCTGAAAAATCCTTAAACGATCTCAAACAATCCCCTAGAGCTTGGTTTGAGAGATTTGGGAGAGCTATGAAGAGTTGTGGCTACCATCAAAGCCAAGCTGATCATACTTTGTTCTACAAACATGGTAAAGAAGGCAAGGTTACAATATTAACTGTCTATGTGGATGATATTGTCTTGACAGGTAATGACAGTGAAGAATTGGAGAGATTAAAAAGAAGACTTGCAACTAACTTCGAAATCAAGGATTTGGGTACATTAAAATACTTTCTTGGGATGGAGTTTGCTAGACCCAAAGAAGGTATATTTTTGAATCAGCATAATATGTTTTTGTTTTACTTGATGAGACAAGTTTGCTAGGATGTAAACCAGCTGAAAAAACCATTGAGCCGAACTTTAAGCTTCAGCCTTCTAAAGCTCAAGGAGTACAGGATAGAGAGCAATATCAAACACTATTTGGAAGACTAATATACTCGTCACATACACATCCAGATATAACATTTGTTGTTAGCATGGTTAGCGAATTCATGCATGCACCTGGACAAGAACACTTTGATGCAGACTAGAGAATTCTCAAACACCTAAAGGGAACCCTGGAAGAGGTCTACTATTCAAAAATCATGGTCATTTACAAGTTGAAGCCTATACGGATCCGGACTGGGCTAGAAGCACTCTTGATGGGCGATCAACTTCTGGCTACTGCACGTTTGTTGTAAGCAATCGTGCCACCTGGCCGAGTTTAGATCGATTGCTAATGGAATTTGTGAAGTGTTGTGATTAAAAGACTATTCGAAGAGTTGAAGACCTCCAATCCATTGCCTATGAAAGTGTACTTTGACAATAAAGTTGCTATCTCAATCGCTCACAATTCAGTGCTTTATGATAGAACAAAGCATGTGGAGATAGACAAACACTTCATCAAGGAAAAGATCGAAAATGGATTGATATGTATGCCGTACATTCCTACCACCGAGCAAGTTGCACATGTTCTGACAAAAGGACTTCCTACAAAACAATGACATACTGATTGGCAAGCTGGCTATGGAAGATATCTTCAAACCAGTTTGAGGGAGTGTGTTAAAATGAAGATATTAGGTAGTGATATTACCGAATATTAGGAGATTTGATAGCTGTAAATATTTACTGTTAATAGAAAATTAGTCAATCCTTTAAAATACAAAATTAGTTAGACCAGCTAGCCATTGTAATCTTTTCACTGATTTCTTGATTGTATTTTGTGATATCCAGAATTTTTATTACTAGTTGTTAGATTAAAAATTAAGACTTAAGTATGCCATTATTAAAGTCTAATGACCTCATTGATTATTGACTTAGTTAAATGGCCTTATTAATTACTAGCCAATAGTTTGAGGACCCAAGTGAAGATTTAAATTGGAAGTTAAATGAAATTATGTGTAAATATGTCAATTAGCCATGATTAGAGATGATTTATTTGACCACATGCATTATTCACAACATTTTAAGCAGAGTAATTGCTTTGACTACATAAATTAAGATAATTGATTAGACCACATGCATTATTTACACCAAGATTCAAGCCAAGTCAATTGATTTGATCACATGATTAAAGGAATTGATTTGACAACTTTCAAGACAATGCACCAATTATGCTTTGACCATGCCTAATATCTAGCTATTTCCTTTCAATTTTCTATACATAGTTCAAGAACTTGCACTATAAATAGGAGTTAAACTCAACATTGGACTATCCATCACCAATTATTTACACTCTTCCTCTCTATCTCTATCACTTTGTCTCTACATCTTTACTCTTTCTCTTGGCTTTTTTCATATTAAATTTTGTCATACACTTACACAATCACACAACTCGGCACGCGGCTCAAAGATCTCCCTCCAACAATCACTTCTATCATTTTTAAATTCTCAAGTGAAAGGTAAGTGTAGTAGTACGAATTGTTCTCTCACTATTTAAATTACGGAAATTTATGTTATGCATATGATGATACGGAGATTCTAGTTATGATTATGATAAGAGTCCTATGTGTGTAAATTCAAAAGACCGGAGTTTAGTAGCGCTACGCACGGGAATTGTAGCCACGAAGTTCGAATTTTAATTCTCGTTTCTCCATATGCATATTATGATTTTCCGTAATTAAGTATGAGATGAAAATTCGTTATTACTCATTTACTAAGATTTATGTCTCACATGTATATGTTAAATATTTTATAGGTAATTAAAAGAGGCGAGTTCGAGACAATCGGAGGTGGATTGTGCTTGCGTGGTTGAAAATGAATAATGATTTAAGTAGTTAAAGATTTTAACAACGTTTATTGTATTTTCTTTAAAATTTGTTTTAAACCTTTCGTGTTCAAAAAATATTATGTTCTTCCATTATTCGAGAAAGTATTATTTTACGGTTCATGTATAATGATTTCAAAGGTAAAAATTTGGGTCGTTATATATTTTCTCCTATAAAGAGAACCCTTGTAATCATATGATTCATAAGAGCTAATACAGAAAAGTCAATTATATATTTTCTCATCTCTTTCAAGTTTGCAGGGGCATTATTCGAGATCGAGATGGACATTTCATTAGGGCTTTCTCGTCATCTTATGCAAACTGCCTTATTCTAGAGGCTAAGTTATGGACTATCCTCATGGAATTTCACCTGCTCGATGATTACCAGACATTTGGGTAGAGGCGGACTCATTTGTGATCGCTCATTGCATCATTAGGGGTGGGATCAGTGAGGAGTATGGTCCTTTTTGGCCTACCACGACAACTTTGAGCTCTTGTTCAAATAGATAGTTATGGACTTCCTGGTATTTGGGATCGTTAGTTTGATTCTCACTTTGTAACACCTTGAAAATTTTATAGAATAAAATTTATTTGTTCTGTATACTATATATTTATATTTTGAAATTGGAGGATTAAAGTGAAATATGTCTTAAATTATTATTTTTTTGGGTCAAATAATTAAATTTTGATAAAGCTAGTTTTAGCATATCGATATTGGAATCTTTTTGTAGCTCGTAATTAATTAGGAATCTTAACCTTAAAAAAGTTATTTTGAATTAAACTACATCAAGTTAAGTTCGATTAAAAGAATAAGAGGTTAATAGAACCCTGAGGGGTAGCTCAGTGGTCAAACATTGGGTTTGCTCCCCAATGATCACCAGTTTGAGTCTCCTCAGAGCCATTGAGGTGAGTACCCGATTGTAAACTTCAGGGCCCCATGGAATTAGTCGAGGTGTACGTGAGCTGACCCGAACACCCATGGTCATAAAAAAACAATAGAGTTGGTGGGAATTTGCAATATTAGTTAAGTAAAATCCTTGTCCTCTTCTAATTCCTAAGCCCACGTGATTTTTATTTAATATGAAACCAATTGTGTAGTCCAATTCAAATGTCACTTTTTGAAACCAAGTCCAAGTTGGCCACGTGTCCTATTTTCAATGGAATGATTGTACCACGAAATCAATAGTAAAGTATACTACAAGCTCTACTATTTGAAACCAATTATTATCCAAAATACTTGTATTATACAGTTTTCCAATTCTAGTTACAAACAAACTCAATTGAGAATTTCAACCATAAATATTGCAAGAATTCTCATTATTTTACCACGAAAAATAAAGAGAGTTGTGGTAGAGAGAAAAAGGAGAAAAACTAAAGAAAAATAAGAGCAGAATTTTTATGTGCAAGATTTTATTTTTTCCAACATTTAAATATCAAGGTAAAATATTTATGTGCAAGTAGTTTGTTTTCTTATACTTTATGTATTCAATTAAATATGCATGAATTGCCGCTAGACCTTCGGCTTCTTTAGAAAGAGACATGAAATCCTATGAGAATTTAATAACCTAAGATGGGTGTATCGCTTGGTCACTGATATACTCCATAAGAGAAGAGTGGTATGAAATGCTTATTTTATTGTTATATAATTGTCCATGAAAACTACACATCCGACTGGATATTATTAATACTCACTTCTACAATAATTTTCAAGTTAGTCCGAGTCGATTGGAGTTGTGGCAAGATGGTAGCACGAACTACCAAGAGGATTCAAAAAACGAAATGCATAAGTTTTCCGTCTTTCAATTTGTTAATTAGTTTAATTTCATCAAAAATGTGTTATTTAATTAGTTAGGTGTATATTTTTTTTGAAACGATTCTCATGTTTTGTTTAAATTTATGAATATTTCAGTTTTTTTTAAAGAAATTTATTTTTATCGTTCCGCATTTAGCATAAAGAAAAGTGAGTTTTTGACAACACTTTAGGGTTATGAAAATTTGGGTTGTTACAAACTTGCTCCTTTTGTGTAAAATGTAGTAGTTCTCTTCTTATTTCTATCCTTCATATGTTGCATCTTTTTGCTTTTAGAAGGTTAGGTTTGTACTCCCCTTCCTCTTATTTTCATGAGTTTGAATATATATATATATAGTCAAGGAATTGAACCCTCCATCAACCGTCACTAGTGTGGAACCTAGAAACCCACTGAGGTTTTGTTGGTGTTTGATTAAACAAATATAGCTATTTAAAAGGAACGACGGAACTGAATATGATTTTGATTATTTACATTCCATTAGTTGTCTTAGAAATCCTTGGCACACATGAATAGAATCTAAACACATACTTGGTTAATTAACTTCAATAAAATGCTTCGTTGTTCAAGCCAAATTTTTCTGCTCAATTTTATGGATTTAATATCTCAAATAAGCTAACGAATTATCCCCATTTTTTAAACTTACATCCCCTAACACCCCAAATAACTCAATTTACCTGCAAAATTGACTTCAAAAAGAGTATTGCTCTAGAAGCATTCTCCATGAATTTGTTAAATATCATCACCAACTTCTTCAAACCAGTTTCGATTTCATCTTCCATGAATTCAGCAGAAAGAGGCATGCGTATGATCGTGGAATCAGCTGACGACCATGGCATACTTTCACCAATCAGCATTGGAATAAACTGATCACGGAACCGCTCAGTCAAATCAGTACCTGTAACCAAAAATGAGAAAATTGATCTATTCTTGTTTTCACAGTAGATGATATGAATGCCAACCGTAAAACCATCAAAAAAAGATTTACTCGTTTCACAAAAAGAAGTCAATTAATGGCTGATTCACATACCACATTATATTATTCTCATACAGAAAATGCAAGCTGAAAAAATAGCGTACAATTTCAAATTCAGTATTTGACAAAAACTACATTGGTTGAGAAAGCAAACAAATTAGTATTAGAAGGGAAAATGCATAACAAATAAATAACTCCAATCATGCATTGCCCTCGCTTGAACAATTACAAACGACTAGAAAATGAGGTTGGCACGCATAATCTTCACGAGCTGATGCAACAGAAATGTCAGTCTATCAATCATGAAATCTGAACTTACATCAATGTTATTAAATGTAGAAGCAGATATAGTAGATCCAAAGAGAATCAGCTGACGACCATGGCATACTTTCACCAATCAGCATTGGAATAAACTGATCACGGAACCGCTCAGTCAAATCAGTACCTGTAACCAAAAATGAGAAAATTGATCTATTCTTGTTTTCACAGTATATGATGTGAATGCCAACCGTAAAACCATCAAAAAAAGATTCACTTGTTTCACAAAAAGAAATCAATTAATGGCTGAATCACATACCACATTATATTATTCTCATACAGAAAATGCAAGCTGAAAAAATAGCGTACAATTTCAAATTCAGTATTTGACAAAAACTACATTGGTTGAGAAAGCAAATAAATTAGTATTAGAAGGGAAAATGCATAACAAATAAATAACTCCAATCATGCATTGCCCTCGCTTGAACAATTACAAACGACTAGAAAATGAGGTTGGCACGCATAATCTTCACGGGCTGATGCAACAGAAATGTCAGTCTATCAATCATGAAATCTGAACTTACATCAATGTTATTAAATGTAGAAGCAGATATAGTAGATCCAAAGTGATTTTGCATAGATTTAAGAATTTAATGGTAAACTCCCACCATTGAAAAGGTGATTACATGGATGACACAGGCCCAAGGTTGAGGATTTTAACTACCCAGGAAAAATTAAGCACATTGCCATCTCAAAGTCTCAGAAGGAAGCAATTTGTCGGCCTAATTTTACATGAAAGGTCATACGGCAGAAGCTTCTTATTTTAATGTCTAAAAGAAGATTTTAATCAAACATGAAGCAATCATTGTTCCAGCAGCAGATGTTGGATGGACCACATTTTCTATAAGGCCTTTTGCCATAGTTAGGTTACAAATGATATGTAAGCAATGATGGTATATGATTTGATCCCAAATTTCAAAAAAATTCCCACCATCAATGTCATAGAAACATCGACAAGCTTGCTTTTTAGAGAACTCATATCATTTAAAGAATATAATAAAAGCAAGGAGTCATTCAATGACTAGTCTCCATTTTGACCAAAGCAAATCACCGAGAAACTTTTCATCACCATATGACCAAACAAACAGTGTTCAGAATGCTAATTTCAACTGAATAAACTAGAAACTGAAAACCACAAAAAGATTTTAACTAACCAGGAAAAATTAAGCGCATTGCCATCTCAAAGTCTCAGAAGGAAGCAATTTGTCGGCCTAATTTTACATTAAAGGTCATATGGCAGAAGCTTCTTATTTTAATGTCTAAAAGAAGATTTTAATCAAACATGAAGCAATCATTGTTCCAGCAGCAGATGTTGGATGGACCACATTTTCTATAAGGCCTTTTGCCATAGTTAGGTTACAAATGATATGTAAGCAATGATGGTATATGATTTGATCCCAAATTTCAAAAAAATTCCCACCATCAATGTCATTTGGTATATGATTTGATCCCAAATTTCAAAAAAATTCCCACCATCAATGCCATAGAAACATCGACAAGCTTGCTTTTTAGAGAACTCATATCATTTAAAGAATATAATAAAAGCAAGGAGTCATTCAATGACTAGTCTCCATTTTGACCAAAGAAAATCACCGAGAAACTTTTCATCACCATATGACCAAACAAACAGTGTTCAGAATGCTAATTTCAACTGAATAAACTAGAAACTGGTAGTAGATTGATTGAGAATGTGTGGTTAAAAAATAAGGAAAAGTTTTGGGTTTGAGTGTAATATTATTGTATTGAAGAATGTGTAGTTAAAAAGAAGAGAGAAAAATGTATTTTGAAAAAACAAAATGAGAATCAAACAAGGGCTCAATAAACAGAGTTACAGATTGCAAATCAGAATCAGCTCCTATTGTGTTGCTTTGTTCATCTCTTCAAACGCATCTCTTCTTACATTCCACTTTACAACATCCCTGTGTACTCATTTGAGCCTCTATCTCTTGATACAACAGCTATAGAGGAGAAGGAACAATGCCAGAGGGGGGAGCAACTGAGGAAATCGGTAAGGAGATTTGTCAACAGGATCAGGTGCCTAACAAATTTGGTATCAGAGCATCGACTCAAGGACGATGACACTAAGTGAACAGGTTAACAATTTGGAAGTAAGAATCGATGGAATGGGAGCTATGAGAATTGAATTCCAGAGAGATATGACAGTAGTTATGGAGAGGTTGGGAATAAAGGTCAAAAAATGGGATGGGCAAGAGTGTAAAGGAAAAAAAAAAGGCCCTGCAGAGACCTCACCGGACGCCACCTTCAATTCCAAGATCCCATCCAAATGGGAGGAAATCGGAGCTCATACAGATTGTCGGATTTGCAGGGAGGAATGACGGAAAACAGGAGTGCATAGTCATCGATTGGAAATTCAGATTTTCGACGTTGAGAACCCCGATGGTTGGATTTTTCTAGCGGAGAGTTATTTTAATATGAATCAGCTCTCAAATTGGGAAAAACTTGAGGCAGCAGCAGTCTGTTTTGATGGAGAAGCCTTGGCATGGTACCAATGGGAAGAGAGTCAACGGGCTTGGAAAAGTTGGGAAGACTTCAAGAAATTGCTGCTGGAACGCTTTCAGCCGTCACAAGGAACGGTCCTAGAAATTTTTTTGCATTAAGATAGGAGAGCATTGTCAGTGAATATCGAATGCTGTTCAAAATCCTTGCTGCTCCTTTACCCAGAGAGGTAATGTGCTGAAACCCATGATAAGGGATGAGGATAGAATGTTGAAACCTCAAGGTCTGGGCTATATCATGGAGCTAGCCCAAAGAATGGAAGAAAAGAATGAATCAATGTAACAAGTCCAATCAAACTACAGCCCATCTAGAAATAAGATAAATCCATACAGTCCAAACCCAAATCATCAATTTGTTCCATTCCATACAACAAGTCCAAATCATCATACCAATCAGAAAATTCCAACTACGCCTAAATCCACCGCAATCACTGTATTCCGCCAATCCATGAGGGAAAAAACAGGATAATGGCACGATCACAATGGAATGAAAGATATCAAGGAAAACATGGCTAGCTGCACAGTGTGTCAACAAAATAAATATATAGCATTGTCGCCAAGTGGACTCTTGCAGCCATTGTCGATTCCAGAGATGATTTTGTATGATGTTTCCATGACTTCATAGAGCGACTGCCAAGTTCAGGAGGTTGGGACACTATTTTGGTGGTCATCGATCGATTGAATAAATATGGACAATTTATCGACCTAAAACATTCATTCACAGTTCTTATGGTGGCTGAGGTTTTTATTCGAGAGATAGTCCGGCTACATGGAGTGCCACACTCTATTGTCTCCAATCGGGGTCGTATTTTTATGAGCAGATTTTGGACTGAGCTATTCAAGGCGTGGGGTCAAACAGGTACGGCATACCAAACTGACGGGCAAATGGAGATGGTGAATTGATGCTTCCCTCCAACAGCCCACGAGCTTGGAGTCAATGGCTGCCATAGGCCGAGTTCTGGTATAACACCTCATTCCAGTCTTGAACCAAGCATACTCCTTTACAGCCATCTCCACCGTGGAACAATTGTTACGGGACCGGTATAAGATTATACTGGAACTCAAAATGCAGATCTCACAAGCACAGCATACGATGAAACAGCAAGCCGACATGCATCATCGTGCTACTAAGTTTGACATTCAAGAATGGGTATATCTCAAACTCAGAACTTATAGCCAAAAAAACTGTAACTAAACTGCAGAATGAAAAGCTATCGCCAAGGTACTATGGACCATTTAAAGTGGAGTCGAGGGTTGGCAGGTAGCTTATAAGCTGAAGCTTCTTCCTACAGCAGCCATACACACAGTATTTCATGTATCAAAACTTAAAACTTAATATGGCTATTGGGGCTGTCCAAACTATATCTCAACTTCCACTACAGCTAACGGCGACCAGAGAATTCCTGTTTGAACCTGAGAAGGTACTCGGACTCGGGCCTAGTTCCGAACGTTTCCCAACGGGACCAGAGGTGCTGATCAAATGGAATGATTGTCCAGACTATGAGACTTCCTGGGAACAGTCAACATGATTCAGCACCAATTTCCCAGCTTCCCAATGTGGATTTCGAGGGAGCGAGTAATGATAGACCCCCAATTATATTTACATACACATTACACAAGGAGAAATAAAGGGGAGAACACAGTGAGCAGAGCAGCAGCAGCAGCAGTAGGGGATGTAGCAGGGGATCAAAACTAGTCTTCAGTTAATTATCAGTTAGTTAGCAAGGGTACTATGGGAGATTGGGGTGAGTGAGGAAGTTTGCCAATAAATGTGAGCAAGGGGGGTTAATCATTCATTCACGTGTCTGGAATGATGGGGGAGGAATCCAGGCCTCTCGAACTGCCTTGGGAGTGTCATCTATTTGCTGTTTTCTATTCAATAAACACTGACTGACAGATTTCAAATCAGATCCTATAGTGTTGCTTTGTTCATCCCTTTAAACCCATATCTCTTCTTATATTCCACTTTACGACAACCATGTATACTCATTAAGCCTCTCTCTTGATACAGCAGAGGCGGAGGAGGAGCAACACAGCCAGAGGGGAAAGCAACTGAGGAAATCGGTAGGAGATTCATCGACGGGATCG